AATTTAGGGACTAAATTGTAAGTTTTCAAAGATTGTAGTTCAGTTTTGAATATGTAGGAAGTTCAGGGACCTAACCTTGAATTTCCCCTTTTTTGATATAGGGTAATGTTGATGAATAAAATAAGTAATATATATTTTATTTGTTTAAAGCCTGGGATATAACCCGAATCTATTCCTTATTTCTAGAAATCAAAAACCACTAATTCCCAAATTTCCAACCCCAATCCCTAGTCACCGCCCCTTCACTGATTCCTCGTCGTCTGGCCATTTTTGGAGCACATCACCACCATCATTTTGCTCGTCATCGACCGACGACCAAAACCCCTTTAGTCCCTCACCGAAATCGGTCGTCGATCGTCGTAAAGAAGCCGAAGAAATTTTGTAGAAAACTTTTCTCCGTCGCTCGGTTTTCCCTCGATTGTTGCCAATATAGCCACCTGCTTGCCTCACCGCCATCATAGTTAGACTCGCCATCCCCGTGCTCTCAAAACCCAACTGGTGGGTCACAATGTCGTATAATTTGCCGATAACCATTTTGGGTAAGTTCTTATTGTATTTCAGATATTTTGGTTTGGTTTTTGGTTAAATCTTGGTTGTAAATGGTGTTTGGATACTCTTGGAGTACTCGACCGATCGACCTGACCTCTTTCCGCCATCTCACGCGCCGGTAGTGTGCGTGGGGCTCCTCCGTTGGTCCAGTCAGACTGAACCGAGTCAAGTTGAGTCAACTCACTGAGTCAAACCGTTTGAGTCAACTCAAACAGAATCAACTCGTTGACTTTGACTGACTGTTGACTTTGACCATCATTGACTTTGACCAAAAAGTTAAATTTTCCAAAAAGACATATTTTATGTTTTTCGGCGTCCTGAGTCCAAATCTAAAGTTTGTTTTGTTAAATTTGAACCCAAAAGCCTCCATATTGTCCGTTAAACCTGAGCATGCATATGTATTTAAGTATTTTTTATTTAAGAATAATTAAATTAAGGTTAATAACTGATCTAATATATTGTTATTTGAAGGTACACGAGACTCTCCCGACTGTTCGACAGCTCAACCCAGCTCCTCTCGATCCATTCGAACTCGCGAGCTAGGGGTTACTTGTATGACTCGTGAACCTTATGAATACCTAGATTAAATTTTCACTTCGATATTAACTCAGTTAGTTATGAATAATGTTCGAGCATTGCTGCAGAGCGTGGCAAGGCAGGTGCTCAGTAGACTGTCGACTGATCCATTTTTCTAGGTATGTTCCTTATGTGCTATATGATTGTTTTATATGTTTTGAAATGTGATTTTCCAAAATTATTGAATTACTGAATCTTTTATCAACCCAACGTTACTATTTACGAATTTACTGGTTGATTGTTTATGAACTATGGTTATTTGATATATGTTATCTGACTACTTGTTCTTACTGGAAATATGATTTTGTCGATTATGGATCATGGAATTTGCTGCTTACTGTGTGAACTGTTTTATTGAGATAGTATTTTGGGTATGATATTGGAGTATAGAGGTTCAGCTCATATCAAGCTGGTAATTCCTTATGGACCTAAGGCGGCCTTTGGGTAGGCTCTGAGGCCCTGATAACTTTCTTGGGTAGGCTTAATACAACGTTTTATTTGCACTATTGGGACACACTAAACTCCTTAGCTCACTCTCCAAACTTTTTCCCTTTCAGATACTTTTGGATAGACACCCTTAACTTGGCACTTGGGGATCGACACATCACCTACAATACTTTTTGTCGTAATGTTTCTATCTTTCAAAACTACCCTTATTTGGTGACACATGTCTATTTTATTTTGTGTTACATGTTTTATGTAGTATTTTGATTTACTACTGATGTACGAGTTATTGAGATATTCGGTTTATGGTTTACTTTCAACATTCCATATTTTGTTATACACTTAATATTTTATGCCTTATATTATTTGTTCGAACTTATTTAATATTACTATGATTTAAGTTATTTTAAGATCGTTAACGTAATATGCTAGATCTAGTCGTAACGTATAGGTTGGGTCTAGGGTTTACAGTGTTACTTGGACTTGGATGGGAATGTTGTATATGTCTACATTAGTGTACTTGAATTTTGCAGGAATGGATGTCGATTGTGGATCATCTTTGTTGAAATACACGAAAAAAGCAGTCGAAAACCAAAAGTTGCTTGTATATGAGATAGAGCCCTTTACAACCTTTTCTCGGTCATGATGAGACTGGGGCTTTTCAATGGTGATCCGGTTAAACTGCCTTTTGGTGACATCGGTTCGGATCAAATTTGTTCTCAAGAGCATCAGAATATTGCCCTTGAGGCTGGTCGTAACGGCATTGTCCTTCTGAAAAACACTGATAAACTCCTTCCGCTTTCAAAACCCGGAACAACTCTTGCTGTAATAGGCCACATTGCTGATTCTGTGCAAACATTGCTCGGAAACTATGCAGGTCCTCCTTTTAAATCTGTTACACCATTGCAGGGGTTGCAAGGCTATGTTAGAGACACTAGGTTTCACTAAGGTTGTACTGCAGTTAATTGTTCTACTGCCTTCACTGCTCAAGCAATGAATGTAGCGTCTGGAGCGGATCGTGTGGTATTAGCAATGGGATAGGATCAAACCCAAGAGAGGGAAAAATTCGATCGAGTCGACTTGATTCTTCCACCGAAGCAACAGCACCTGATATCCACCATTACAAGAGCTGCTAAGAATCCAGTCATTTTGGTGCTTCTTTCCAGAGGTCCAGTCGACATATCATTCGATAAAAACGATCAACGCATCGGAAGCATTCTCTGGGCTGGTTATCCAGGTGAAGCTGGAGGCCGTGCATTAGCCGAAATTATATTCGGTGATCACAACCCCGTGAGTTCTCATTCATACATCTTGATCTATAGTTTAAACAAAAGGCATACTTAAGTTTTAAGCTTCGTGTTCATACACAGGAGGGAGATTACAAGTTACTTGGTATCCGCAAAGTTACGTTATTGTACCAATGACAGACATGAGAATGCGTCCTGAACCATCTTCTGGCTATCCCGGACGCACCTACAGATTCTACCGAGGACCGAAGGTGTTTGAATTCGGTTACGGCCTCAGCTACTCAAATTATACATATGAAATTCTCCCTGTAAAAAAAACAATGTCTATTTAAACAATCAGATAAGTTCTCAAACGGACGAGAACTCGAATCCTCTCAGATACATACTGGTTTCAAAGATAGGAACCGAAGTTTGTGATCAGATAAAGTTCCCGGTCACGATTAGAGTTCAAAACAATGGCAATTTGGCTGGTAAGCATCCCGTATTGCTATTTGTGAGGCCGGCAAAGATGAGTAATGGGAGGCCGGTGAAACAATTGGTTACGTTCCGGAGTGTTAATTTGAATGCCGGGGACAGAGGTGACATTGAACTAGATTTGAGGCCATGTGAGCATCTTAGCTCAGCTGATGAAGATGTTTCGATGGTGATAGAAGGGTCTTATTTCTTAAGTATTGGAGACAAAGAGTTAAAGATTGAGGTTGTTTAATGATGCAAAGCTCATCGGAAAATACAGGCAGCTTTATAGCCAATGTAACTTACTGATATATATATATATATATATATGGTTTAGCTTTCCAGTAAAGCACTTGCTTGTAAAAAATCAGTTCAGTTGTAGTATTTGGATGTTATCTTGTAACAGAGTGGTCCTATAACAAATTCATAAGACAATGCATGCAGATAAGCTCCCACAGAACACTTCCTTGTCTCTTCACTCGTGCCCGTTCTGCTTTGCGACACATGAATCATTCTTTTAGGTGGTTGGAATAGAAGCTAGAGCAATTTACAACGCTGGACAAACAACGGGGATGAGTTTTTGGTGAATTTCTTCAAGCTTCTGATTGTTGTAAGCAACTTTACAGCTTATGATTTGGATAATTGTAAAGGAATGAAAAGATGTCTTCAATGCAAAGGTAAAGTTTTAAACTTTATTTGTTTATGTGATTGCTTTTAGTTAATTGAAAGATCTCATTTTTCCATTTCTTTTTTATTTCAGATAAGTTCACCTTAGCATATACCTAATAGTAGGTTTGTAAACGAATCAAACGTTCATCAAACCGTTTGTAAAGTAAATTGTTTGTAAACCATTTGATGGAAAATTTGTTTACGTTCGTTTATTTAATAAACGAACAAACATGAACAAGATTTTATGTTCGTTTAATTAAATGAACAAACACAAACAAAAGACTCGTTCGTTCATTTACATTTGATAATCCATTCGTTTATGTTTATTTATTTATGTTCATTCGTTTATATTTAGTTCAATCCACAAACGTTTAAAATATTAAAACCTAATAAATTTTAACCCCAAATAAAAATACCTAAACCAATTAAAGAAAATATAAGTACTAAAATTATTTGAAAAAAAGAAAAAAATCTCAAATATAAATCCAAATAAATTTTTGTTCTGTCGTTTATGTTGTTTATATTTGTTCATTTGTGTTCATTTATCATTTTAAGAATCAATGTGTAAGTTTATTATTTTAAAAAACGAACACGAACAAACAAAAAACGTGTTCATTTATTATTTTAAGAATCGATGTGTACGTTTATTATTTTAAAAAACGAACGCGAACAAACAAAAAACGTGTTCATTTATCATTTTAAGAATCGATGAGTACGTTTATAAAAAAAACGAAAACGAACTAACAAAAAACAAATTGCATTAAAGTGAAACAAACATAAACATAACCTCATCTCATTTGTGTTCGCTTATGCACCTACCTATAGAGAGTTGGATTCAACAAGGTAAACCAGCTGATTACAATCGTGTTAACGGAGTCCCCAAGATTATTTGATGGCAATACAAGGGTCTTATTTCTTGACCAGTAGAGTAAACAGCTGTTTTAAATCCATCTTCACTGGCAAATTATGAGGAAAAAAAATTTGTTTTTGTAATGAATTGGCAGATCCATCAGGTGAAAAGTACAACAATTACCCTAAAGAACACTTCCGAGACCGAAGCAATTCAAATTAAGTTATTTTAAGTCCTCTAAATGTAGAAATAAACGAAGCAATTCACATAACGATTAGCAGACAACAACATAATTCATACGCATACAACACCAAACCACTCTTAAACATCTTCCTGATACATCTTCATCATCTCAGCACAGCCAGCTTCAGGTTCATCGGCCATGAAGCCCATTGCATTAGCGTATCGAGTGGTGGAAGCGATGCCATTGTAGTTGGTCAAGATGACACGGGCACGTTCGCGACCCGGGGTCATCGTGGCACAATCAGGCTGGGAGCTCTTCACAAGAAGTGCATCACAGATCTGATCCCAGTGATCCTCAGGCACAACAATCTCGTATTTTCCGGCTTTGTCGGTGTAGCCCTCCTTCTCGTACACAACTTCGCCGGTCTTCCTGTCGGAGCACATCAACTTAACCTTGGCATCTGCAAAAGCCAAAAATTCAAAACCAAAATCATCAAAGCGACACAATTAATTTCTCAACACCGACAGCTACATAATAAAACCATGAACAAACCCATCTTAAAACTATAAAGTTTTCACCATTGGATCTCCTATTGATTTCCAAGTCCCGAACTTTGTGCTTTTTACAAATACCCTATTATTCATTTCAACTCAAAGTAACATCAAAACCTGGAAACTAGTTCATAGATCTACCAGTTCAGAAGCTAAAACACCAGATCCAACAATGGCACCGACATAAACACCCAAAAATGAAAGAGAAAGTACCAGGAACGCATCGGCTCTTGGGGGTTTCAAAACCAGCACGGCAGCGGTCACAGTACACATGCCCTTGGACCTTCAATGGGTCCTTCACTATGCGTGTAGCACTGACCAAAGCTGGAAGCACACATAGTGCAACGAACAACAAGAGTTTGGCCATTTTTTTTCCTGAGTTATTTTCTTGAAAAATGTAATGAAGAAATGCTTAGAGACAAGACGATAGGGAAAATTAAATAAAAGGGTGGTATTTAGAAAAACAGGGAAATGATAACTGGCTACGCCGCGTCGGGGGATTATATTCATGTGTGACTTTAAAGATGTGCGAGTTGCTGGGGTTGGGTGCCACGTCGAAACGGCGGTGGCGATTTTGTAATTTTGTTAAGAAAAAAGGCTGTTTTGCTGAAAGACTGATGACGTGGAAATATGTTATTGGTGGGAGTGGAGGGGGAATGTTAAGATGAGGACGTGGAGGATAAAAATACTGGTCCTGATTGAACGCAGCTGGCTGTTGTCGGTGCTCACATGGGCACTTTGAGATGGATGCCAGAGGAAGAATTGTGGGTGCGGTACTGAATTATATATATATAGGTTAAATTACATGCTTGTTCACTAAATTTTATTCTTTCTCTTATTTATTTACTGTATTTTTAATATTTTTAATTTACTCACTAAATTTTATAGATTAAATTTCTTTAATCACTTGACCGTTTTTCCTAACATATGAATGATGTGAAATAATTTAATATTAAACAGATCACGTCAAATTGATATTAAATAAAAATTACTAATATTTAATTCCAAACAAGATTTTAAAATAAAAAAATAAAACTAAATTTACTAAACCCTAATCCAAAACTTCAATCTCAATCTCAATCCCAACCCCCAAATCTTCTCATTTTATATGTATTCTTGTTGTTATGTTTCGAAGGAAGGAAAATTTCAGTGATTGAGAAAGAAGAAAAGGAAGATTTTGGACAAAAGAAGGATCATTAGAAGGAAAATTTCATCCCGTAAGCTTGAGAATGGAAAATTTGTTGCTGGTTTTAAAACTTTTTCTCGTGCTAATTTCATTATCCAAGGTTTTTCCCCCCCCTTTTGATTACCCTCTTTGATCTTATTTTCTTTTTCTTTGTCAATCCCCCAAGGAATCCTTCCTTCTTTGTCAATCGCAAACACAATAGATAGTTGAAATGACGATAAATTTTGTTTGTCTGCTTCATTCCTCTTCGTTTATTTGTTACATAAAATTCCTTCTTGTTACAAGAAAACATCGATAATGAATATGGACGGATTGAAATGACGATAAAAATGACCGGATTAGTCAACCTATGGTAGAGTTGTAGGCTGCAATATGTAACATAAAATTTAAGAAAAGGAAGAACAAAGATGAAACGAGAAAAAATAAATATTTTAAGGAATCAAAACCACGTCGTTTTGAACTAAATTTAATTTTGTCTAGGAATCTAAAACGGTATCGTTTTTATGTTGGTTGCAATGTCATGATACGGTTAGAAAGTTAATAACTGAGTGATAAAAAATCAATCTATAAAATTTAGTAAGTAAATTGAAAAAATTGAAAGTATTGTCAATGAAATAGAAGAGAGAGTATAATTCAGTGAATAAACGTGTAATTTACCTTATATATAATAATTATTCGATCTATTATCATTATAATTTTTTTGGAACAAACTTATAAAAACTTACTTAATATAAAAAAATACATAAATTACAATTCTTTTATAGAAATGACCATACACAAGGTTTTTAACCTTGAGGTCGTGGGATCGAGTCCCACGGAGGGCATTTTATAATTCGGAGGTCTCTTACGGAAGCTGCTCTCAACCTGGTGTTGGGGGTAGCCTACTATCTTACCTCCCCCCCTTACCCCATATATATGGGAAAAAGGGACGGGCACATAAATTACAATTCTTTTATATTTATTTATTTAAACTTTTTTACAATTAATTTAAATGTATGATGTTAGTAATAGGGGTGTATTCGGTTCGGTTCGGTTTTTTACCAAAAACAGAACCGAACCGAAATAAACGGTTTTTCAATATTTAAACCGAAACCGAAACTGAATAGTTAAAAAACCGAAAAAACTGAAACTGGTTTTTTCGGTTCGGTTCGGGTTTTTTAACGGTTCGGGTTTTTCGGTTCGGTTCGGTTCGGTTTTTCGGTTTTTCAATGAAAAAATCACTTGAAACTATAATTTTTTTTACAAAAATTGCCTATTCGGTTCAATATGGAACAAATGGGTTCCATATGGAAAACCCGAACCGAACCGAATCAAAAAAATGAAGCCTTTAAACCGAACCGAAAACCGAACCGTTTAAAGCCAAACCGAACCGAACCGTTTTACTCGGTTCGTGTCGGTTTTTCGGTTTTCTCGGTTTCGTTGCTCACCCCTAGGTAGTAATATAACCATTTAAGTATTTCAACTGTGACAAACATCCAAAATATAATATATTGGTTGTTATAATTTTTTAAAAATATTATTTAAAATATATATTAAATATATTATTATTTTAAAAAATCTTAAAATGTTTTTAAAATCACTATTTTAAAATATTTAATTTCAAGACATTTGTAACACCCCAAAATTTAATTAAAAGAAAGTTGAGGACTAAATTGCAAATTTTCAAAAGTTGAAGACTAAATTGCAAATTTTCAAAAGTTTGTAGTTCGATTTTGAAAAGTATGAGAAGTTCAAGGACTTAACCTTGAATTATTCCCTTTTTTTTAGTAAGTTGAAAATATAAAAAAAATGGGGATTTAGTGACTAAGGGGGCTTGACCTCGTGACCCTAGGGTTAGGATTGTCATACCCTAGCCACCATGCTAGGCTCCTATTGATGATTTATTTAATACAATATATTTTTATATCAATGTGGTTTGGGTTGTATCCCAAAATAAAATTAGAGAAACACCGGTTGTGAATTATTCCTAAACCCCAAACCTATTTATTCCAACCCAAACCACCCTATGTTACTCTCCGTTCAACCTCCTCTGGTCGTTGGTGAAGTGTATCGTCGCGTCCAGCGAGCTCGGCAATAACCCACGATCCAATCCTGAGCCCCGGTTTACCCAAATCAGCTACCGTCCGTCGTGAAGCAAGAGAAACCCGTCAAACCCCTATCGCATCGGTTAAATGCGTTTTTCGGCAGCCTCAATCTTCTTCTTACCTCACCACTGTCGCCACTGTGTTCACCCGCCATTTCTAATTAAAACCCAGCCCTTGGGTTACTCTGTCGTTGTCGTTTTCCCCGTTGTCGACCTGGGTAAGCTCCTTAGACTTTTCCGTTCAATTTCAAGGCTTATAGACGAAGTTTTGGGCTGTTGTGGATAAATTTTGGTTCATTGAAGCTATTGGAGTACTCAGTTGTCGTTCCCGACCCCGTCGCCGTTGCCACCCGTCGCCACGCACTGTCGTGTGCACGTGGGGATCCTCCCCAACCTTAGAATATACTAGAACTGGTTCTAGTCTGAATCAACTCGGACCAAAATGAGTCAACCTGAACCGGTCTGACCCGTTGACCTTGTCCCAAAACATTGATTTTGACATGATCGTTGACCTGCCCGTTGACCTTGACCAGTTTGACCGTTGACTTTGACCAAAAAATTTAAATTTTTTTAAAAGTCATATTTTATGTTTTTCGACGTCCCGAGTTCGAATCCGAAGTTTGTTTTGCCAAATTCAAACCCGATAAGTTGTTTTCGGCATTTTTATCTCCCAATTCAATACAAATTTTAACGTTTAAGTTTCGTTTCTAATGTAATTAGTTTGGTCATGTTTCTGAGACATTATGAGACGTGGAATTAAAGTTCGAGGGCGATCAAATGAAGTTTAATTGGTTAACCTATATGGCTAAAAATCGAGGTAATATTTTACTACCTTATGCATGCTTTATGGTACATGTTGGTGATTTGTTAATGCATGATTGGAGTTATTGGTCAATTACATAGAGTTAATTATTGATGGACTCGAATTAAATACAATATAAAGACAATAAACACAATAAGAATCAATTGACTCGTGTAAGGAACTAGAAGATCGATAAGAGATAAATCTAAGTTCAGTGATTTAATTAGTAAATCAATTAATCTCAGGACTCGTAAATTCTGATTAATCTCGTTAAAGGATAAATTATCGAAAGTACTTTACACGTCTGAATTACTCGACATGACTATATTTTATGAAAAAGTGAAATAAATAGAAGTATTGTACGTATCTGAATTGTTGAAATGATCGAATTACTCTATAAACTCAGAAATGATCGGGATAAACTTGAATATTAAATAACCTAAGTACCTTCAAAAGCGGACGACTGGGATAAGTCTGGAAACGCTGATGAACTTATATGTTGTACTATCTATAAGGATTATGAACCATAAATAAAGCATGTCGATATTTCTTGATACTATTGCAATACAGAAATGACATAAATACCATTGGAATACATGTTCGTCTCCCTAAGATCCATTCAACGATGATTCTGAAGGTGATCAGTTTAACTAGAGCAATCAATATTAAGAAGTGAATAATGGTGAAGTACCTCAGTCTGAATGGTTGGCAAGTATCTAAGTGTTGGGATTGATTAGTTTAATTTAACTCGAAACCCTGATAATTTGATATAAATCCTAAATTTTATAAAAGGTTTTTTACTCTCATTAGGTTAAATTACTAAGAATTCTTCGAGAAACCAAAATTCTAAAATGCCTCTGATTGCCTGAATAATGGAATCAAGTCTGTCATATCTGAAATCTCAAGTAGCTCTGATATAAAAGATTCTGAATACCTTTCTGATTACTTAGTGCCTCCGAAAAATATCTGAATACTATGATCTTGATAAATCGTTTATTGAATGACTGATGAATCCGCTAGTTATCAAACTTTCTTTTTATAAGGATCTCATTTTTGAAATTCAATCAGTTTGCAGAAGTTTCGTATTTCCCCCGCTTGATAATTGCTAAATACCTACGGAAAATAACTGGATCCTCTAGTGTGTTCCTTATATGCCATATAATTGTTTTACCTGTTTTATAATGTGATTTTCTGAAATTACGAATTTACTGAAGTATTGATTTATTGTTTATGAACTATGGCTACATGATATGTGTTCTCTGGTTACTGTTTTTACTGATAAATAAATATGTTTGAACTCTGATTTCCTGCTACCACTGGTTACTGTCTGGAAAAAATGTTTATCTTCGAGGTACTCTGGGATCTGGTATGAAGTCTCTGCTAGTTCTGTTCTGATCAAACTAGTAATTCCTTATATAGGTTCATGATAACTCCGTAAAAAGACTATTTTTAAGGCCTTTTCAACTTAAGTTATTGTTTGTTTAAGGGTATATATAGGTCATTTTAGATGTATGTAGCAGCATATAATTGCATTTTTGGTGGTTGTGTTATTTTATTTTATTAAGGTGCTATATGAAGAGGAATGCGTGGTTTTTAGTATGTGGAGGAAATAACAAGCAAAATAGGCGAGCTGGGAAGTAATGATGTGGCATCACACGTTGCTGAAGCAGATTGAAATGCCTTGGCATTTCTGGCGCAGAAAACGACAAAAACATACAGCTGTACGTGGACAGCTGGCTCTGCACGTGAAATGATGGTTGTAACAGCCTACTAGGGGACCATTGACACCTGGAGGATAAGGTTCATGCACAACATGTGATTCTAGGGGTATGAGGGGTATTTTGCACCCAACAATATCCCAACAACCTCATCATTACCCCTAGATATTTTTATTATATATTACACCTCATAAGAGAGAGAGTGGGTGAAAGAAATGAGACGCATATTATAGCAGAAAAATCAGATTTTTATCTCAAGCTTAAAACAAATAAAATACATAATGTTCATTATATTCATTAACAATACCCTAACCTAAATAACTAGGGTGTGGGTGGCCATTCTGGGAGTTAAGGGTTTCAATACCCGCAACACCAAATCCTTATCTTTTTTCTCTACCGATAAAAAAAGGGATAATTTATGGTTATGTCCCTGAATTTTCTACAGCTTCTAAAACGGGCTACAAGTTTTGAAAACATGCAATTTGGCCCCTAAATTTAACTAAATTGATTTAAAATTTTTATTTTTATTATTTTTTCTATTTTATTTAAATTGGGTTGTGACAAAGTTATTTGATGACGGATAACGCTAGTTAAATAAAAATTTGCGGTACTACGCGACGCTACATATTGATATGTGTTATATATAGCTCACGCTCATATACAAACACGAAGACATCACTGACGAGACTTGGCTCACTTAGCTAAATCACTTATCATTCATGTCCGAATACATAATGACAAAATCAGAGGGTTTTCCATACCTCGAGACTCGTAACTCACTAACATACCTATAATAACCTCAGTACATAGGATAAAATTTTGGAACTGCTGCATCAGAATGAACACTAAGCTAAATTACCCTTGTGAGTACTTAAGGCATATGCGCCCAGTTAGCAACTAAAGTGCCTTGGCACTAGCTTAGATATATTATGATATTTCTAGCAATTAAGATGATTGACATGCTGGCTACTACAACTAGGATATTCTTAATACTCTCATTGAGATCCTTATCTCTAATGTTAAACTTGGGATTACTAAATCTCTGCGGACAAATCACACAAACCCTCTACTAGCAATACAGAAAAATACTTAAAGTCTCATATCTAGCTTGACAACCTACACAAATATTCCCCTATGGAATACACAAGGGTGGAGGATTTTATGGCCTAACATTTTCTTAGGGTTCACATTAGACTCAACAAGGTACAACCACCTATTCTCCTATCTCTAGGCTTGCAATTCTGAGCTCAAAGAAAGACTTATGCTAACAACTTCTTTTAGGTCGACTACCGAGTCTAACCCAAGCCCTCAATGAATATCTAAGGTAACATTGTCTATTATTCTAAAATCCACCTTGTAGCCACTTAGATTATTACTCTTGGATTCTCTACATGAATATGATTCCTACCTAGTTCACTTGACATCACAAAAGAATGCCTAGTTCAAGGACCTCGGGTCCTTTTTGCTTATAAAAATATATATATTTGTATTATTTATTTTTTTGTTCAAATAAGGATAAAAATAAATTTACTGTTAATTTTATCATACTTCCCTAACCTATGTCCCTCATTCTAAATTAGTCCTTAAACTTTTAAATATTTTAATTTTATTCTTAAACTATGATCTTTCTAAATTATTCCTTAAACTTTTGAACATTTAATTCTCATCTCCAAACTGTGATCTTCATTTTAAATTAGTCCCAAAGTTTTTGATTATTTCAATTTTATCCTAAATATGCGTATATACTAATCACATCTATTGTTAATAAAATCATTAGGCCAAGTTACATTATTACATGTTTGAAAAAAATGAAATTTAGGTTAAACTATGGTTTAAACGAATTACATAGTTGGATGAATTTGAGGATGAAATTAAAATATCTAAAATTTTATAGACCAATTTAGAATGATTATATTTATGAAATTTAGGCTAAAAAATTGTTTTTATATTTATTTTTTAATGATTATATTTATGAAATCATTAAAATATAATTTAATATTCAAATTATTTTTTAAGGTTCTGACCCGACCCGACCCAATCCAATCAGATTATATTTTTAAAAGAAATTTCGGGTTCGGGTTAGGTTTTTTTAAGGTTATGTTTAGGTGGTCAGGTTCAGGTTTAGGGTGAAAAATACTCGATCCGACTTGACCCGAAAAAATTATAATTTTACCTTATATATTTAGGGATAATTATAATAATGCCCCACCATATATTATTTTCTTTCAATTAAAGCCCAATTTTTATTGCATAAAAATAATATTTTTAAATAAATATATTATTTCGGGTTGAGTCGGGTCAAGTCGGGTGGATCAAAAATCCGACCCAACCCACGCCCATCCCTATTCAGGTATGTTAAATAATTTTTTAATTTAATTTTAAATATAATTTCAAATATGTAATCATTAATAAATAAATATAAAATAAATTTTATTTAAAATATTAAAATAATTATAAATAACATATTAGATTTTTTTTAGCAATTTAAGTGTTATCATATTCTCAATTGGCCTAGATTTAAGTCTTCACTTGTCTATTTTTTATTTCTATCATTAACTATAATATATAATATATAAAAATATTTTAATTGAATCCTAAATATATATAAAAAAATATTAACTATAATCCATAGATTTAATACATGAATAAAATAAAAGATTTTAAAGTTAATGCTCAAATTAAGACATTAAACAAATTAAAAACAGAATCAGGATCAAATTGCATTAAATGAAAATCCAAGGAAACAAATCATATACAAGTAGTGACCAAAATGAAAGAAAACAAAGCATAGTGCTAGTGCCGCGAATACGTAACTTTACAAGGACTGACTCCTAATTATACCAATTTTGTCTATTGCCATGTAAACGAATCTGTTAAATATTAACGACAGGTGGCTATATTGAAAACATTTAAATAGTTCAATGATCATATTGACGCAAATTTAAAAATAATTGTCATTTCGCGACTCTACCCTTAGTTATGTGGTCATTTATTTAGTTTGCCCTTTATTTATTATATAATACATTTGTATAATGGTTTTTTTTTAGAACGTATAATGGTTAAATGCTCAAATTAGGGATGACCTTTTAAAGGTTTGTCACATAAGGAGTTGATCTATAGAAATGATCAAATAAGGGATTAACTTTTTTTTTAATAGGGTCAAATAAAAGGCTGTCATTATTTAATGAATTTAAAAGAAATATTTATTCTTAACATAAAATATTATGTGTAACAAAATCTAATTAATTTGTTATAGTTAAATTTCAAAATTATATAATTTCCAACTATATAATATTTCTCATTTATAATCTTTTTCAATTGGAAGATCATAACTGATCAAACCAATAGCCTGCAGATCAAAGAATTTGTTTCATTGTTCAATATAAGAGTTACATCCCTAAGACCAAGGGGAAAAGGTCCAAGTATTATATATACAAATATATATCTATATATACACAAAATATATACCAACCTTGGAAAATTTGAAGCTTGCAATAGCTCAATAGCATGTGAATTTTCACAAGGAATGCGATAATTTAGTAAAAGAGGAGGAATTAACTTGTGCCTGTGAAATGGTCATTTCAGGGATATCTCTACTGCCAAGTTTGTTCTTGTGGCTCGGGAATGGTGTCCGCAACTGAGGCTGACAATGCGCCGTTAGAGTTTCTCGGCTTCCTTGATGCTCGAACATTCTTGAGAGTCATCATGAGTTTTTGTCTCTCTCCTTCAATCTCTGCAAATTGAAGGCTTAGTTGAGAGTATCGCTCATTCATCTCTTTTAGTTCAGTCTCTACATTTCCATATCTTCCCTTTACTTCCAACATATCTTTGATTAGCTCATTGATGTCTCTGAAACTTTTGAACACTGCTTCCTCATCACTGTGCTGTTTCAAGGAGCTGGACAACAAAATAATATCATGTCGAAATTCTTCAACATTTTCATTCACTAAGCTAAGTTTACACTACACTTGCCCAAATGTTCCTATCCCTTGACTGCAACGTCTAATAAAATTTGGATTTTAGCAATAGCTTATTGGACATATCAAGGCTCAAAAGTGAGATATCAGAGCAGTAAAGAGAAAGCCTAGAGGAAAGAACAATCAATATACATGAACATTAGCGAAAGAGGACTAATAATTTTTTGTGGAAATTCCATCTATGAGAAGATTTACAGACTGAAAACCAATATCAGATTTTTTTTTAAAGCGGAAAGAACAAGCAAATTAGATGTGTATGAGATGCAGCCTCATAATAGTCAAGCAATAACCAAGCATCAGTTATTGGTTTGATTGTTGCACCCAAATTACTGGTATACCAGGTAAAGGGTCACCATAAGGTTGCTTTGATCATCTTTGGGACCAAATAAAACTTGGCCAAAGCCCCTTGGTTTAATCTACACATGTCCTTGGGGCAAAGCAAATAGTCTCCCTCGAGCACAAGATTCTCATGAGAGATGTAATCGAAAGATTTTGCCACTTAAGCTCTGTAAAGGAATCAGAAAAGCAGACTAGTGTTGTTTTCTAGAACTTAGCATACCTCGGAAAAAGGATGTCCGATCTCTTCTTAGTTTGCAATGCCTCCGCAAGCTCAAGTTCCAATGCAAGTACCCTTTCGAATGCATTTCCACTTTCTGAATATTCATTAAAGAAAGGGAATATGTTTCCCAGTTCTTCATTCACCTGTGTGAAGGCAAAATATTGAGAGCCCTGTGTAGAACTTTTATCAAAACTTTATGGTAGTTAGAAGTCCATATTGATTCACCATCTGTAATTGCACTAGTTCTCGTTCTAAACCTGGAAACTTGGGGTTGAAATGATGAGCTTCTTTTGAAAGAGCCATATTCTCATTTTTCATCCTTTCCAGCTAGAAGTAGGAAAAAGGTCAGTATACTAATCACCATTATTGGGTATTATCCTAAAGAAATTTTATGCCACAACAGTAATAAAGTTAACTGATGAAAGAAAATGACACAACATTCCCTCATGCTCAACAATATATTAGGAAACTACAATCAATTTAGGGTCAGATTCACACTAAAGATCGTCTTGCAGGCCTACAAATAAACATACCTCACTGTTTAGGTGGTCCATGCTTGATCTTAAACTGTGAGCTTTAAATCGATCATTGATTGAAGCTAGATGTTTTGCATCACTATTCTGGTTGCCAAGTGCAACGCTTTGGACTCCATTACTGACAACAAGATCCTGACAAACAATTAAGCAAATCATCATTACTACGAAATTTCGATATGTAAATAGAAAGTCAGCAAAGGATAAAAGAAAGTAGATTAGCATTTCCCTGAGACATATTCAACCAAGATTCTTGCAAAAGGAACAGGATAAATTTGACAGACTGTTTTACCAGTGAGTATAACTAACCAATTAGCAGGCCAGCACAACAATATACTTAATAGATAGCATAAACTAATCGGTAAACATTTTATGCGTCTATAGTCACACAGAGATAACGTTCAAGTAAAGTATAATGCAATTGTCTTTCAGTATTTATTTATTTTTTTGATAAGAATTTCAGGCCTCGTTAAAAACCCCCTTCTTGGTTAATGGAGCTTATAGGTAAGCTCCTTAATCAACGGAAGGAGGAAAAGAGTGCCTTAGGATTTTATTGAACCATAAAATTACATAAGATACAACCATTAAAACACCCCAGTCTTTCAGTATTTATTCTTAGGACCAAATGCATTTTCAGTTCTTACAAAGGAAATGAGCAAACTTGCATCTACAATAAGTTGAGATTTCATATACTACATAAAATTTTAGTATTATAGTTCATTCAAAAACAGTTATTCTAAGCAAAACGTTAAAAGTTACCTGCTCAGGTTGCAAACTAGTGAGCAAATTTTCACACTCATCTTTGTTAATGGGAAGTAAAAACAGATGCCCTTCTTTGGAGTTCGCTGAGGTACCTAGGTCCAGATATCTATGATCTATGTCCCTAGTTGGAGCATTATTGACAATCAAGTCACCACAAACACCATCTTTTAGTTTTTCATTTCTTTTCATCTGAACGTTCGTAGTTGATGTGGAGGACTCGAGTGATTCTTTGACAATGCTAAGTTCAATTGAGATTTTAGATTTTTCTTCATTGCATTCTTGCAAAGAAGCTTCAAGTTTCTGTTTTTCTTCCTTACAGCATTCAAGGCTTATCATTGAGCAATCCAATTCAGCCTTCATTAGGTCATAAGAACTCATTTTTTCATGCTTGTCTGAAATCAAAGATCGTAACTCGGTCTCCAATTCCAAGATCTTTGCTCCCAGCTCTTCATTTCTCTTTAAATAAGAAGCTTCAGTTTTCTTTCTATTGTCAACTTCATCAATGGCATCTTGTAATTTCCACAGCATTTCCTCACTATGCTTTTTGGAGACGGCCAACTGGCGCTTTAGTTCTAGTAACCATGTTTCATACTGTTCTTTGATAAATGCAATTCTCAAGGACTCTTGCATAGCAGTTGGTGGCGCTTCAGATTCCCTCTTCTCCCGGACCTGGGTGGACTCTGCTTCAGCCTTATCTTTGAGATCCTTCAAATGAATGGACAAGTTTTTGAGCTCTTCAGTCTTCAAAATCTGTTCAGAAAGCCTTTGAGAAAGCTCATTACACTGTTTCTGCAGTAGCAGCACTTCCCTACTATGCCCCTCCAGTAAGCTTATGTGAGTGCCCTGTTCATCCAATTTAGCATTGAGTACTATGATATGAAGTTCGAGTTCTTCTTTCGATACCATCAGATTATCAATCTCTTCTTGGGAACTGGCTAGTAGGTGCTTCAGCCGTTTGACTTCAAGAGCAAGCTGATTTTTATCCTCAGAGTAATCAAACACAGTTTTTGCAAGCTTACTTTTGTAGTCCTCAAGTTCAGCCAATACAGAGCTATTTTTAGAGAGAAGTACCCTTTTGTCATCCATTGCAGCTTCTAACTCAGACTTTAGGGAGTCAAGACATGCTGATAGTCTTCCATTGTCTTCAATGTAATGTGCTTCACGAGCAAGATAACCATTGAGAGTGTCCTCAACATCACGGTGCTTTTCTCGAAGATCTACAAGAAGCCTTTTGTAGATGGAAAGTTGACAAATAAGGCCATTGGTCCAGGATTCATACTGAGTTCTTAAGAAAATGAGGCTAACATCTGCAGCAATAGAAAGTTCATGCATTTCAGACAGCTGAGATTCCAGAAAAGTAATAGTTGAAGATTCTTCGTGAGCATTGTAGAGGCACTCTTCACATTGTTGCAAAAGACTGCAAACTCTAGTTTTCTCAGATTCTAGATCTGATAACATTTTCTTAAGACTGACCAATTCAGATTTCTGCTGATGGAAATGCAACAACTGATAGTATTTCTCATTCATTTGGGAAGTAAGATCCGTAACCATACTCTGTAGTTTTTCTTTGGAGCTTCTTTCAGCTTGCAGCTCATCATGCAAAGAATGCAAGCTTTCTTTCAAACCATTAATCTCTAAAGCAAGTTTGGATGACTCCTCAGATTTATCCTGTAAGCATTGCTCCAGCACTTCGTTTTCTTCCATAAGTTCAGCCACAGTCGACTTACTACTTCCAAGTTCTTCATTCACAGACTCTAACACCAACACTTCTTCAGCGAACTCCTTGTTCTTAGAAGTAAGCTGTTGCAGCTCTGCTTCAAAATGGTCAAGATCAGATAAAAGATCCCTCTGCTGTTGTGCATACATTTCTTCAACTTCAGAGCTAACCTTGAGCTTTTCAGCAACAACTTCAATTTGAGACTGAAGCTTTTGTGCCACTACATTAGATAAATCTATTTTCTCAGCCATGGATTGTATATCATGATCAAACTTCTGCTTCATTAGCACCACATCAGACTCTAATGCACTTAAAGATATCTGAGCCGTATCCCGCTCGCCCATCAGATTTTTCTTTTCCACTAAGAGATGAAGAACTTTTTCACGTGCAATACCATGGACTTCTTCTAACCGCAGCATGACAGATGTCAAGTCCTTGGACTCAATATCCCGACCAACCAAGTCACTTGAGAGGGACAGTTCATCCAAAAATTTGCCATAGGATAACAATAAGTTCCGGATCCTGATTTGCAGAAAGTCAACAGTATTCTGGAAATTTTTCTTCACATTAACCAATCCATCAAACTCAATTTTGATCATTCTCAAGTCCTCCTGCAAAGAAGAGTTATTATTTCGAAGATTATTATTTTCCCAGGTTTGCTCCTTCAATAAATTAGCCAACTTTGTTTTCTCCAAGACACATGCATCATATTTGCTCTTATAACTTTTGTATTCCATCAAGAGGCATTCCAAGTCAGTTATCTTGTCAAAGAGAAGATGATTTTCACGGGTCACATTTTCTATATTTGCTTCTAGAGTTTGTTTTTGCAGAACCATGTCATTATATTTGACAATGCTAGTAGCCTCGTACTCATTAAGGGAATAAACATCATTCATAGCTGTCTCAAGCCTTTGCACTAACTCCTCGTACTCTGCTGAAAGTTCCAATTGTCGAGTAAGCTCATCTGTTCTCTCTTTCATGGGTTTAATATCAGCAGTTGCTTCAAGTAAAGTTTCTTGTAGAGTCTTTGAAAACAGATCCAAGTAGACATTTTGGCAAAGCATTTCACATACTTCTTCTTCAACCTTCAGGTAAAGGCCTTCCTGTAACTGGAGGGATCTTCTCAAGTCCTCTAAAAGAATATCTCCACCCAATGGTTGTTTCTTCACCCTTACATGCTGGTTTTGACAATGCAAGGGCTTGACGGGTTGAAATTCTTCTGAATCCAGTCCATGTCTCTGCACCATCTCCAATCTTTCTAGGGAATCCGATCGTGAAGAATCTACAAAAGCTTCCCTGATGAGATTCTCATTTGTCTCAAACACAGACATAACCTGGGAAGAAAGTAGCTCAAGATCCTTTTGCATCTGGCCCACTGCAACTGAATAATTCAGACGTGCCCTTTTGAGGGCTGCTTCTGCAATGATAGCCCTTCTTTCCAGTTCCTTAGTTAGAGACTCCAGATCTTGTTTTTCTTCTGAAAATCTCAAGATCTCCTCATTCATATCTTGGCGCATAGTCTCCATCTCAGCCTTAGTGGATTGCACCCTATACGAACAAGTAGAATGCTCATTTCTGAGTCTTTGCAGTTCTTCAAGCATCTGACCTTGGTTTTCCTCGAGCTCCTGAACAAGAGCTTCATAGTAGCACTCCATCTGCTCCATTTTCTTTACAAGGCTTGCCCGCTCGGCTTTTGATTCATCCAACTGTCCCAGAAGTTCAAAGATTTTGCCTTTCATTGCATTAGAAGAAGCCACATAATCAGGTTCATGTGACATACGACCAGGCTCACTACCATGTGGAACCATGCCTAGCTCTGGTTGATAAAGATCTACACCAAAACTAGTTTCAGGCAAAAAAATATCACCATTTGTTAAACTCGTTTCTCTGAGACCCTCCTTCATATTGTATCGATCAGATGGTCCTGAACTAAGAATAGATATTTCTTTTTGAGTTCTTTGTTTGAGATCTTGCAAAATGCCAAGCAATGCCTCCAAGTCTTCATGAAAGAACCTATGCTCTCTTTCGTGGTAAATCAAACTTGTCTTGTTTTGAAGTTCCCTTATCTGAGCCTCCATAACTACAATCCCCTTGGACCAGATGACCTCTAGGTTTTGGAATAAGAGACTCTGGTCTTTTTTAATAAGTTTTTCTTCTGTCAATGAATGGCATATTTGAGATCTTTTCAACAACTCAAGGTCATCTTTCAACTTCGAACATTCCGATTTTAAAGCAAAAACCTCCTTCTCCAACCTCTCTCCAGAAGAAATCTCAGCAACAAGTTGCTCAGCAAACTTCTCTGTTTCATCACCTATTTGACTGGCATGATTCTGTAACAAGCTTAGTTCCGTCTGAAGTTCCTGAATAGATGACTCTGCCGCTTCCAAGCATCCTCTGAGTCTGCTGTTCTCTTCATAAGCATCAGCTAAGTCACTATCTGTGGTATGGTTTGAGCTCCAGCCATGAACCGGCCCACTAGTCCCCTGTACCAATACTCAATGAACCGAGGGATCCTCTTTCTCTTGCTGAGGGCTGTGGTGAAGTCCTGCCAAATCATCAGAGGCTGAATGCTTCAGGCTGTCAAGTTCATGAATGCTGGACATACCATGCTTCTCTGTGTATAAACTATATGAAGTGTTTGAAGAGTCATCAAACCCAACGGCTGAATATCCATAGTCTTCATTCAAGCCCAAATCATCTTCAACCAAAGGCGCTTCTTTAGCTTTTTCTTTAAATCGAACCCTGGCATCGACCTATATACAAAATAAATTGAGAAAAGACTAGATTATTCAGAAAAGTAATCATAAAAAAGCTTGTAACAGTTAAATTGCTAATGTAGACCTTCACATAATGTAGAAAAACAAACTTTTCACCCAAATAAAACAACTGAACATGTATGAAAATTTATTTAAATATACATTAAAATTACTTGTTGCATATTGGCATTGTAGCATGGGACTGCTAAAGGGCTTTATAATGTGAATATCATTGATCTTCACACTAATTTAAGCATCAAGTCAATCACTAGTTCTGTGATTTCAACATTATTTTAAATTCAACCCTGGACTATATGCAAAAAGTTCTCTTCAATGAGTGATATCATAGACCTTAAAATCACTCATTGAAGAAACCATGACCAATTATCCTCTTCAGCCAAGAATTTGTATTTGACAGTAAATGTGTAAAGAGCTCAATGTAAAAGTACAAAATAAATACTAAGAATCTTTAACTACGGTACAACACATGTAGTAATATCACAGAATCTAAAAGAAACAAACAGAACCTTATCCACATAATTGTTGACGATCTCCTCAGAAACTGGTGCTTTTCCAGAATAAGACTGATCGGGACTGTTTTGGTCCGGCCCAACTTGCAATCCCCTCTCTTTAAATTCTCGTTGCTGTTCAAACTCCCTGAGACCAAACGTAATTACATATAAGCATTAAGCAGTTTGAAATTAGAAGCAAGCAAAGAGTTCACATGTTTTCAATAAATACCTGAAACCAGTTTTAGAGGTTAACAGTTGTACAGTGACCTGTCATTGAGTACAAATTAAACATTATTTAGGCCTTAAACAATACAAATCTATGGTAGGAAAGAGTTTCAAAGACTTTCTAGAGGAAGATACATAATCCCCAAAGAGTGTTTTTAGAAATTCAAAAGCCCTCACATGTAATATAGCTCCAGAATCACAGCCAATAAGAGGCAATGGAACAACTGAAGGCTTTGATGCATCAGCATAATCAGCGAGATTGATGGTAGCCTCACCAAGAAGGCTGGTTCTTGAGGAACCCTGCCAAATAGATCGGGTGAAAGATAGTTAAGGTCATAGTAAGACTCAGCGTGTGGTCAAAGTTTTGCAAATAAATTGTAAGAACTAGGATCTAACCATTGCCATAACAAGCTTATAGAGTTTTTCATCGAATTGTTTAGTTTTGATGTCTTGGAGAAGCCTTGTAGTCTCATAAATTGGATCAGCCCATTTGCAAGTTCCATTTCTCACATTTGCTTTGGTTGTCTTTGCAGTTGTTTTTCCAGAATCAGCAGGAACGAAGGATATATAGAGCTTATCCCATCCACTTTGTGGAATCTGAATTGTACGGAGAAAAGAAATTACACGTAGCATGCAGTAATCACGGAAAGCAAGGTGAATGATGCAGTGGAATCTTTTTCCAGTGATGAAGGAAAGTCACATATTACACTAGCAATGTATATGGTAGGAAACTTAAGAGTTATTTTAGCACATATCAGAGGAAAAGATTCATTCAGATGAACTGAAGTCTAGTTGAATATAAGTTAAACCATCAGATTCTTCTCCCAACATTACGGTTGAGGGCTGCTACAAATGTAGTTCTAATGGTTTTTGAAGACTCTGATTCGTTGAGAATCGTGAAGGATGACTATCTAGAGACTCTTACAGAATGGTTTTCCAGAGTGGAAACTTGGTCCGAGAGCCTAGTGGTGAATTGTCGTCGCGTGTGGTTAGTTTGCGAAGGTATTCCTTTTCACGCTTGGAATTGAGATACTTTCAAAAGCATTGCAACAAAGTGGGGCAAATTATTATCAATCGACAAAAGTTGCGAGTTTCCATCATCTTTTGATCGGGCTAAAATCCAAATACTCACAAAAGATCAAGTGAGAATTGATGAGTTGTTGGAATTGAAGGTCGGTGATAATTTATTCAAGATTATGGTGCATGAAGTTGATCCATCCTTCAAACCTAACTCTTGGGTCCCCGAAGATTGCGATATCTCATTAGAACTTGATCCTCCAATTGATACTTAATTGTTTGGCATATGTTTTCAGAGGCGTTTTTTTTTCAAGTTTTTGGTTGTAATGTTGGTTTGTTTTGCATTAGGTGTTGTTAGATTTGGTTAATAGGACAGCCAATTTAGAGGTTGATGTCTTACCTAATGAAGGAATTGGCTGGTCTAGTGGTGCTATTTATTGGTGGTTTTAGGTTGTTTTTGTTCATCGGTTCTGTTATAGGTGTTTGTAAAGTTGTATCTTTTGTAATCTCTTATGTGCAATAAAATCCTTAGGCACTCTTTTCCTCCTTCCGCTGATTAAGGAGCTACACTACTAGCTCCAACAATCAAGAAGGGGGTTTTTAACGAGGCCTGAAATTCTTATCAAAAAAAACATTACGGTTGAATAATTAAGCACTGAAAAATGGCATGCAACACAAAGCTTATAAATTTATGACTTGTCCAGACATATAAGATTTAATCACAGATCAGATAAATGTATGAAAAGGATTCACTCAAATTATTCAAGTAGTTTATTAGATTTGATGTCTAATGGACTAATGTCAAACCTTATATTTCCTTTCCTAATAAAATGGATGGTTAAAACTTAAGGCATTGACATAATTTCCAATTAAACCATTAAATTCTAACCTTCATCATATGGATGGATATTACAACGAATAGCTTGCTTTTTTTTCCCTCGGTTTACATGGATATTAGAATAACTTTCATTATAGTATACACATTCAATTTCAGTCAAAGAACAGGTTCTGAAAAGACTAGATATCTTGATTCACTTAACAAGCTATACTTGTTCAATTTGGTACGCATATGTTGCTAGATGAATTCTAATATACCGATTCTTCGACTTCAATATGATCTTACATCTAAGTAGATCAATGAGTGATTAGCTTCAGAAAAAGCATGTGCCAAAAAATTCCACAAATACAAATTTTGACTTACATGTGTTGCATGGAATTGTAACCGGAATACAACTTTTATTTTTGTCTTCTCAATCTTCCACTTAGTGCTCCTCGACATTACGAGCAAATTACTCAATCACCAATTGTATGACATAACAATCCCCCTCTATAAACTTCCTCTGCTTACAACAAACAATCCAACAAGAACATCATTTCCTCATAGATGAAAAATGTTCTAGTGCAAGTATAAAACATGCTTGAAATCCAAACCCTCCTGCAAGTCTTTAGATCCCATGAGTAACATAACCATAACCGGAAAAAAATGTTTTTTCAAACCCCAACATGCACACAAGATCAGTACAGATCAAGGATTATGTTCAGTTAACCAGGAATCCAGATTAAACACGCAATTCCAAGTTAACCACTAAAAGAACCCATAACCGTAAACTCTGTCATTTTCAATTATCTGGTCTAGAGAGTTTGATTTCAGCATTACATCAAAAAACAACACAACATCTAAACAGATGATAGTGTAAAGAGAATTTTGGAAATAAACGCCAAATTTGAGACAAAGAAATCGTTTCAGAATACTTTGTTAAAAAAAAGGTAAAAATGCCAAAACTCAGAAATATTCTTCAAAATACTGAATTGATCCAAACTCTTTTTAAACGTTAAAGAAAAACATCAAGACAGTGAACACAAAACCAAATAAGATAACTCAGCTAAATGCATAAAAAGGAACAATAGCACCTATAAACAAAGCTTCAAAAACACAAGCTCTTTTCTTTTCCTAAACAACCCAGATTGTTCACCGGGAAAGAACAAAAAAAACAAACTAACCCAATTCAAGAAACGTCAATGGATGCCAACAAAAAAAATAATCCATGTAAAAGGAGTTGACATTTTTAGCACATGTAACCACCCAAGAAAAGGAAAATCAGATGCACTATGAAAACAATAAGGGGAAATGGAGGTAGGTACCCAGTAGCGGATCTGCAGGTGCTTGAGCTGGAAGAAAGAGCATAGAAGGTTCACTTTTTCTGACAATAGTGAATAAAGGGTAAAAAACCCAGTAAGTTCCTAGAGAGACAAAGGAGAAAAACTGTCTTTTTATATCTATTGGGTGGGTATCTTGTGAGTTGAAAACTTTTCCTGTTGGGTGTGAAATTTTGGGTGAGTGAAGGAGAAAACCTCAAGACTTTATTTTGAATTAGCCCAAAGGAAAAAAAAACACAAGGGAACAAAGGGGAAATTGGATTAAGAAGATACTGAAGGTGCAATGGAGGTTTGCTTGAAGGTTAAATATCAGCTTTCAGAATTTCGCGGAAGTGATTTGATTAGTATTTATGAAGTAAAATAAAAGAGACATCCCGCCAAAAGCCTACTAAATATGAATTATAGAAAAATTTGGAAAAAGATTATGACCCTTATTTAGGGTAAAGTACACTTTTAGTACTTCAACTATCACTTTTATTTCTTTTTAGTCACTCAGCTATTTTTTTATCTTAAAATCATATCTAACATTATGTTTTGATTTCATTATAATAACCTATTGTTAAAAAAAATAATAGATTTACTGATTTGGTATTTTTCTAAAAATTTTCAATAATGATGTGGTGATATATTATGGAAACATGTCGACAACAACATTAATTTTTCAAAGGTGAGTAACTAAAATGAAGCTAAAATATAATATTAAGTATGATTTTAAAACAAAAAATTTGAGAGACTAAAACAAAATAAAAATGCTAATGGAGGTACTAAACATGAACTTTACCTTTTATTTTACTGAAAAGCCTCATTTAATCCCTAAATTCTATTACCTGACCACATTAATCTTGAGTTCTTTTTGTTTATCTTGATAAAAAAATGTTTTATTTTTAAATATTATTATATTAATGAATTTATAATTGATTAATTTTATGTGTCGATGTATAGTTTAAAATTAATAATTGTTATTTTTTAAAATAATTTATATCTAATCGAGGGGATTAAAAATTTCGCTCCTAGTAAGTTTTTAAAATAATTTATAACCTAAAAGAGAAGTGTCAAACAGAAAGCTTTTAACCACCTATTTTAGAGATTATTGACGATAAATATTAAATTTCATTACACTCATGAAATAATATTTTATATAAAATATATTTATAAATAATTATTTAATGCATGATCACAAATAAATTGATAAATGATTTTATATAGATATATTTATTTCATGATCGATTTGTACTCATAATATCACTACTCCACGTCAGTAAAATAATAACAGTCAATTAGAATCAGCTCAAGTAGGATTATACATGAGACGAGACAGATCGTAAGTTACTCGAGATCGACTCGATAAATACTCGGATCGAATGGACTCGACTCGAGTTCTTAACGAGACAAAACGAACTACTTGATATTCGACTCGAAAAGCTCTTGAGCAGCTCGAAAATATAATATATTAAGATTCTATTTTTTTAAAAATAAATTATTAATAATATTATCATTTATGTATTGATTTTTTTTTAAAATCCTGTAAGATTTTCATGTATTTAAAGTTCAGGTTTGAGTTTGAGACTTCAATCGAGTTAAGTTTAAGAATTTTTTTCATTTCGAGCCTTTTCGAGCTGCTCACGAGCTTCAGTTTAAGATTTCGAGTTCGAGTCGAGTTAAAAAATTTTAAGCTCGCGAGTTTTCGAGTCGAGCTCCATTTCATAATTTTCGAGTCGAGTCGAGCTCAGCAATACTCGAGCTCGACTCGGCTCGTTTACACCCCTAAGCTCAGGAGGGGGATTATCATGAACTTCGACTCAAGGCCTCATCTTTCATTTTCATAAAAGAATAAAATTGATCTAAGCTTGAAGAGCTACACGACAGAGAGCATCTTCAATCCAAAATAGATCCTCGTTTCCATGCGACGAGTTAGTGGCCAGAAGATGTGGCGCCTTATTATCTGCTCAAGGAACTATTCCAAAAACACAAGTCTAGAAGGAGGTCGATCGACCCTGACCTTCTCGAATCAATGCACTAGTCTCGTTTGGATTTGGGGTTGAGGAGGATAACCTTTGAATAACACTACGAGAGTCACCTTCCACAACCACTTGCATACAACCCAGATCGACTGCCAACTAGATAGTGTGGATCGTCGCCTCATGCAAGCTCCCATAATGAGTCCCTCTGCTCTCCTTAAAATTACTCCTGACCACGCAATATTTTATATTTTGCATGTAGTTAGTGTCGAAATTTATTTTCATCAAAGACTCTACTGGAAGACTCCACCGGACAGAAAACACCAGGGAGATAAAATCTCATTTGGGTAGCCAGACAATCTTTACACTAAGCTTTAATGAAGGTAACAATCTCGTTCACATTAATTTAGTTTCCTTCATGATAAAATATGTTCCTTGCTGACAACTGTAGTTTTCATGTCAAAATAAATTCATTCTTCCCAATAGAATATAAGAAATACGTAGTAAAGAGATGTAAGGGTTGATCCTTAGGGACTTAGAAAAATTCTCAAATTTTTATTTGAATTGTTTAAACCAGGCTATATGTGGTAAAGAGAATGGGGGGTTTTGAATTAAAATGATTGAATAAGGAAAAATAATTTAAAGCAAAAATTAAGAAAGAAAACAAAGATTTGAAAAATAATTATAGTAAAAAGCAGCCTCAGGCCTCGCTTTGACTCAATTCGTTTCTGATCATCGAAATTGGATTTTCACTTCGGGATTCACGCCGGTTACAGTCTACAAGGCATTAACCATGTAACTTGCATTTCACTTTGGTAATCGATTTTCCCAAGACCAATCTTTGAAAATCAAGTTTTTTAATTGAACCAACTACGACAATCGTTGTTAGCGCAAAAACAGTTTTAGTTTAGGAAAAGTCTGACTGGAATTATGTTGTCTCTCTGAGAATCGAACCTGATCTCAGTTTCCCTTAGTGGACCGCTGCTAAGTGTGTTAACATGAAGTCGGATATGTTATTCGCCGATCTTTCCTCCCAACTTTAAATCATAACAACATCATGACCAACAAGCTCTTTTTGAAAAGAAAATGTTTTGATTTTTAAAGGATAGGTTGATTACCTATCCAAGTGATATGATATCGATTATGAGTTCCGAGTCATATATGAGTGTGTCGGATTGTGATTCTAGTAAGAACTTCGCAGTACTTTGATTGAATACTGAAAATGCACAAACAACGTTACAAGAAGGGAAATATGTATATATAAATATGTATATGAAAGTAATGGAAATGATAGAATGAAGTTAAAGTGGATTGTAAATGAAAGAAGTGTGGTGGTGATAATGGTTGAATGGATGTACGAAAATGGTGAAGGATGTTTGTGGTTGGCGTGGAGAATGATAGTAATTCAAATGATGGATTGTGACCCTCTAACTATATATGAGTTAGGAACCAACAATATAATAAGGTGGAAAGGTAAATGTGGTAGGATATGGAACGTGACCCACTAGCTATAGATGAGCTAGAAACCGATGCTATAACAAAAGGGAATAGATGAAGACTACAAGACTATCTTGAAGCCGATAAAGTTCTACAAGAGAACAAGAAAGAAAGCAACCTCTCAAAGATGTTTTTATATATTCAAAATATGTGTTTACAATGAACCTAAAGATGCCTATTTATAGTAGAACTAGGTAGCATATAAAAAAAGGTTACAAAAGAATGATGAATGCTCATCTTAATGCACTTGAATACACTTGAATGTTTTGCCCTTTCTTCTCATCTTCAAAGTTGAATATTCCAGATTATTTTGTAGATGAATCTAGACAATTTGAGGTTATTACTTTCATATGAAGAGAAAGGGGATGAATGTGGACAAGGATGAGTGTGGACATTCTACATGTCCAAATCAACATGTCTCTTCAAATTCCTTGCTGATTTTATCACTTAATTTAGTGATTAAATGAAATAAAATCAGCCTTCATTGCTTGTTCCCTTGCAGAATATGATCACCCTTCAAAAGATGATAAAGGCCTTGATTGCAAAGTTTGAATGTTGATTATTGCATGTCCCCTTGCTTTAACGTGAATGGCCTTCAATGGGTGATAAAATCAACCTTGAATGCCTTGAATTGGTAAATTAAGATGGCCATCAATTTCTTGTCTCTTGGTAGAAGATTAAAGGACTCTTCCTTGGCTCAAACTCATCCAAATCATCCTTGTATAAAATTCCCGTAATGAAAATTCCAACCAGCACTGTCTTCAATAATTCAATCATATATCAAGCTCCTGATATCGGATTGAGGTGATTAAAAATACGTTGGAAAACTAAGAGATAGAGGAATAATCGTATTTGATTTCTGGAATGAAACACGTCTATATCTCATCCAGAATTGGAAAACATTCTGGCTGATATTCTTGCATCTGTTGAAACCGTTCAACTTCTCTCATGCACCTAGACACAAATGTGAACTTTATTCAATCTTTAATTGAAAACATGCATGAAACAATTAATCTTTAGTTTAATAAATGAACTAGTTTGGTGAATGGACTAGTTTAATTAATGAACTAACTTTACTAAATGAACTAGATGCATGAATGAAGTATCTTACTAAATGATCTAAATGCATAAATAAATTACTTCCCTAAATGAACTAGATGCTTTAAATGAAATTCATGCTTAAATGAACATCACACTTATTAAATGCAATGAATTTTATGCAAACTTTTAAATTCTCATGCAAATTCATGCAAGTAAAAGATAAAATTCCCCCTTAAACTTGGTTGTTCCTTCTTCACATCCCAACCTTGAGTATAATGGTGGAGGTTCTTCTTTTGGATTGAAAAAGGCTTTCAAAAATCTAAAATTGGCTTGAAATTCCCTGATTAAGCTCAAATAATCTTCTTGAAGCTTCTCGAATGTAAACAACTAGCCTTGATCAAACGGTCTCAGGGAGATTGCAGAAAATGATGTAAGGCACATAGTCAAGATCACATCATTCCCTCCCTCTTTAAGGTGATTCATCCTCGAATCTAAAATATCGATAAAAGAACGAACTTCATGGAAAACAAGAAAGAATCTTTACCATGGGTAGAATAATTCAATTTCG